CTACTTCTTAGATAGCAATCAACCGTCTGAGTGCATGCACTGGTGCCCTGGTGCACAGAGGAAAATATGGCTGGTTTAGGGGCCCGAAGGGCCCGAGAAGCTTTGGGGTACCTGTGATCAATTACAATACAATGCGCAGTGCCATTTTTTCCCAATGTATTGCCGGCATCGTCTTCCCATCCGTCGTCATCGCCGCTGACATCGTTGACAATGTCAAAATCGATCTTCACAAATTTCGCATATTTGTTCATTCTTTTTCCTGCCTTGCTGGCAACACAATTTATTATATTAACCTCAGCATCAAGTGCTTGTCATTGTTATTGTTCAACTAGTTGAACTGCCTTCGGCTGGTTGCGAATTTCCGGAGGGCAACTGCTAAGTCACAATGCGAGCATTACAATACTGTACTCTTCACCAATTGAAGTGGGAGACCAATCCTAAGCATGAGTTTCATTTTGTACAGCATCAACTCTCGTTATCACAGTCACAATCATGTACAGTACATTCATTTTGATGCCGATGGCAGTTCCAAACAATGAGCCTGTCAGAGACCAGGTTGAGATGAAGGAAAGTCTCCGTGGCGGAGGGCTTCGGCCTCAGCAACTTATGCCAGGAGTGCTGTGCCAAGTAACACGTCCGTGCCCTAACTTACTAACTGGCAACCAGAACTGCAGGGGGTAAACTCTAGTCGATTTTATTACTGAAGTGCAACCTATGTAAAGTTGGATATATATAGTTACAGCGAAGACGGGTCCGCAAATGGTGGAGCCGAGCGGAGCGGAGCTAACGGGGTTAAACATTAGCTGACTGAATGTTACCAACGAGTCGGGTTACGGGGTTAACGGAAAGGCAGGCGATAACCCAGAAACGGAAAGGAGGGATAGGCCTGAAGGTGGGCTCTGCAGGGCAGGCAAGTGTATTGCCTGCGGAGGCAGGAGTGTGCTAGTGGATGTTGGAGCTGTCTGGAAGTCTTCGGGGCTCCGTACTTAGGGAGGCGTAGGTAATAAATTGAAAGGAGGGGGTGGTGACCATCGAGGGGTACCAAGGGGATTGTGGAATACGGGAGCTCCGAGGTTAGTGAAGAAGGAGTGGAGGTAGACCAGAGGGATCGGAAGTCGATGGCCGGGGATGGATATGACAGAGCCACACACCATCCACTTTGATTTTCATATTGAACCGTGAGTACGTTATACCGAATGTCACTCAATTTCAATCATTCTCGTTTTGCTTGGTCATGTCGGGAGGCATAAGCAGGCAAGGTAGGGAAGGGGAGGGAGAAGGAATTTCATTCGACTGAGAATGGTGGGTAAATGTCTTGTTTAGTCGACAGTGGATAGGAATCCATACTTGGAATTCGTCATTAACTTGAAAGTGTCTGAGGTGAAGAGTGATGCGTATCAAGGCATTTGGTTCAGAGATTTCTAACGCTAAATCCAAATTGCTGGGATGCTGTGGGACCAATGTTGTGAATGTGACGCAAGGAGGGGAGTGAAGCGCAATCAATGAACCAGGAGACAGATGTGAAGATGAGGTCTTCTGTCATGTTCATGCTGGATGAAACTCAGCCAACCATTGTTGTTGTTCGTCCAGTTCTACATGTGTGCTTCATAACAGTTGTGACGTTATGAAGCAACTGTACCCACCAATATAACTAAAGAACCACATCGCTGCTGTACAATGAAGTTTCGGTTCTCTCTGTCGTGGTCCATACTTAGAGGTGGTCAAGGAGGAGGTCTCATTTTGCACCCGTTATATACGTAGACTGCGAGGTTAGGTTATGGATGATGGACTGCCATAATCATGCATGTATTGAGAGCCACAGAGGACCCTCACTCAGACACGAAGGCAGAGAGCATGGCATACTCAGTACTCAGCCATTTTCGCATGTACACACATGTACCCGTACCTCAATCCCAGACTCTGTTTTGTTCAGTATTGACTTTCATCGTTCGTGCCAGTCCTCAGGACTTAACGACAATTGCATATATCTCCTCATTGGTCGTTGGTTGTGTGACTGTCTACCAGTGTAGTGTGGGCACTGGTGGAGTTGTATATGTTTCGGATCGGATTTCAATACTCAGTTCACCGCTGAGTAATCGCACTTTTCGCTGAGTAATCACACTTTCTGCTGAGTAATCTTTCCCTTTTTTTTGGCAGGGGGTGGGTTTCTTTCTTTCTTTTTTTTTTTTTTCCTTTTCGACAGGCAGCAGGAGGTTTTTTTTTTACATCATTTTCGATGGGTCCACAGTTTGAAACATAAAGAACAGAAGAATCATACAGGTAGTCGCAGACAACACAGATGGTTATTTGGATTTTTTGGGATGGCTCTTACCCTTGCCTTTGCAGTCCGCATCATCTTCCAGCTCCAATTCCACCTCATCCATGTGGAGTGACATCGGCTCGTTCTTCCTTTCTTCAGTCAGCCCACTGGTGGTCGCCATCGATTCCCCATGGATGACAGACTCCGAAGCGGTTTGACTTTTGGAAGAAGATGCCTTTGGACCTCCAAACATGCATTTTCGTTTGTTTGGAGAAGAGGTGTCACAACCCGACATATCCGACACTTCCCTCTACGCGTCCTAGTGTCACTTGGCCCGTCCCTCCCGCTATCATCATCATCCGTCCACCCATCCGTCCACCCGTCACCCTCATCCGCACTTCCTCCCTCGCACGCGTACCTCCCAACCTAGGTTGCCCGCTTCATTGTTGTCCGCCCCCAGCCGGACGGCTTGCTAGACGGCCGGATGGCCTTTTCTCTTTTGTCTGCTTGCGGACTATTGTTCCTCCTATTGTTCCTTGCTTTCCTTTTGTTGACCAAGTTTGCCGATATTGATTATTTGTTCCTTTCTTCATTCATTAATATCGCGCTTGATCCGCCACTCCTTCCGGGCCGCTCTCATTTAGTTACTTGTGTTTATAACGCGTGTAGGTTACACCGGATGTACCTTAGTTCGTATATCGACTTGGATTCCCCCTCTAAACTCTTATCCTCATCGTAAGGCTTCTGTCTGAAATTGGGACACCAACGTAAGAACGAAGCACAGCGCTCCACCCGAGTCGCTGAAGCTAAAGTCCTGCCCCTCCGACCTTACGAGCCCGGACGACTTCGCGCGCCTCGTGGGTCACCCGGATACGCTTCTGGCACGTTCCTGACAAGAGGTTGGCATTCCAGGGTTCGCACCTTCCGTTAGGGAGACGACCCAAGGTATGCAATGTTTTCGATGAGCCAGTGCATGTGATTACTGGAGTCACGTTTCCATTTCGCTTGGACGTTAACATTTGAACCTGGGCGGGGTACACGGAAATTATCGAAGCGATGGTTGGAGTCATCGAAGTGAAGGCGCACTTTGAAACGGACTTGGGTTTTTTCCTGCGAAAAATGTTGAAGTCAAGAATGCCAACTGCCAGTTGGGGACGAACCTTTGGACAATAAGTACTGACATTCAGTCCAAATTCTCGGCCGGAACCATTACCCACAGTGGTGACTTGACCCACGAAGTGGGCAGTAGCAAGTCGGGCGTTGGAGGGCTGCATGGCTTCTGCTGAAATTCCGATATTTTCAACAGTGGAGGTGTTCAACATCATGATGGGACCATCGACCACTTCAGGCCCTTCATTCATGATGAGAAAACTGCCAGAAACATAAGCCACACAATCTTCTTGTGCATTGTCTTTCATGGGAGACTGAGTGTGGGTGGTCATTGTGGTTTTGCGGGTGTTTTGGTCACCGACAGGACCGTCCCCTGCTAAACAGAGAATGAAAGAGCAGTGCGGTCCTTTGGTAATGCCGTTGGAACAAACAGGAAACAATCCAGACAGATGTGAGGACGACATCAGAAGCAGTGGTGACGATCGAAGTTCACGTTTGGAAAGGCAGGGGAAAGTGGAAGCCTCTTTTGAGAGGATGTATATATTCAGAGGTGGCAGAGAGGGACAGAGAGCTGATGTCATTAATCTATATATGGACCTCTCATTTGAATGGATCATCAACCCATGACTGCACCTTGATTTAGAAGTTCACTTATGCAAGTGCGGCAAAACATTTTAAGAAGTACCCAGAAGTTTCTTATGTACGACATTAGCTATGTTGGGCTGATGTTGAGGGATGAATAACAAAGTGTGGGATTGATGACGAATTTGAGATAATGCGGTGTATAGTTGACCATGAGCGAACACATCTTGCCTGCAGTCTAGGACGATCCGATCCAGCATGAGGCCTTGACAACTGTTGAAAGTGGAGGAGTATGCTAATCTGAGTGGAAATTGTTTTCAGCGAATCGTATAATGGGTGTAGGGGGGTTGGAAGTCGAAGTTGATACGGGGAATCAGATGGGAGACGTCTGGACGGTTGCCTTGATTCAGCACTCGAACTTCTATCCAACGTGATTGACAGCTGATGATCAGCACTCGTTGATTTTTCACCAATCCTTTCGGTACAGACAGGTTGCGTAGTAGAGCACAGATGGCCCCTGGTTTCAGTTTTAGCTTGTGATTAGGTGCTTCTGTGGACACCACAAGGGCCAAGTAGTCTGGGGAGGTGACAATGTGAGAATCATTCAGTGTCCCATCATCATCCATGATGGAATTGTAGCTAAAGTGAATGGCTGGAGGACCGGGGATTGAGTGACTGCACTAACTGAATTAGAAAGGAATCACTGACATAAAGGACCAGCCAAATGTTGTAGTAATGTTTCGTTAAACTCATCAACCAATGCGTTCAGGTAGGTCAGGAAAGCCCATCGGTCTTAGAACCGGGCGGATACAGACGACTCCGGAGTGGAATCGGAGACTTAGTGTGGAGGGACCTTGGCCTCAGCGACTCAAGCGGAGCGCTGTGCCATTGCTGTTTGTCCATTTGGTCCTTAATTTCACAGTAGGTGAGCAGGAAGTCTCTAGGGGGCATTTCAGGTCGATTTCGGACTGAACCAAAACGAGTATGTACAAGTGCTGATATATATAATGGAGGGGGCAAAAGCACAAGGAAACAAAGGGAAACCGAATCAGGACGAAGACGTCCAAACAGGAACAAAGGGTAGAAGAAGCAGAGCGGTACCGAAGGTCATAAGGCAGGACCTGTGATTCGTCCGAAAGGAGGTAGGGAGGGCGAGGCCCAGAGGGGCAGGGGGATGAGGAAAAGTGGGGATGATGACTAACTGGCTAGAATGGGAAGAAGCAGTAGTCCAAATAGGGATGAGGGGAAAACGCGAGAGATACATTACAAGCGGTGAAAGTGCCAAAGGCGATCCGCAAAGCTTGGGGGTTGCAGAGGTTACAGAGGTTACGGAGGCGGGGTTGAAAGTCTGAGGGATATTGGCAATGGTGTTTACGTAGTATGAGGTCACCAATGCAATGGACTAAGACCAAGGTGGAGTCAAAGTCCGAGGTAGGGACTATGATGGAGGCTTGGAGCAAAGGTATGAGTGGTGTCCGAGTATGAAGTACGGGACAGTGGTGGAAGGTCGTAACTTGGCAGGAGGGTGGCGGAGGAGTACCAGAGGGAGGAGAGAGGGGAAAGGTAAGGGGGAAGGAGTGGCAGAAAGGAGAGTTGTCAGGTCTGAAGGTGAGTATCGGAGCGGATGGGGGAAGCATAGGAGGGTGACGGGAGGGTGGAGGTGTTGTGAAGGAGGAGCGGAGTAGGAGGAGGAGGAGTAGTAGGAGGGTGGCGAGAGGGGTGGTGTTCGGTCTGAGGTGAGTATTGGAGCGGACGGAGATAGGGGAGGAGAGGGAAGGAGGAGCAGAGGTGGCATGGGGGGTAGAAGGAGGTGTGTTGCCAGGACCGGAGGTGAGTATCGGAATGGCAGCGGTAGGGTATGACTCCGGAGGTGAAGAGGGTGGAGGTCTGGAAGTCGGGTCGGGGTCGGGTATGCATGGATATGACAATTGGCAGCATTCAGGGGGTCTGACAAAATGTGAAATGGGAAGAGGAAATTTTGTACCACATCGAGGTTGTCCATGCGAGGAAAGAAGGAGTCAAGAACAATCTTCTCCGACTGAGTCAACAAATCTGCTCAGTTCGGGATCTACAGCATTCTGCATTGGTTGCCACAGTTCGAGAACCGTGAATTTTGGCCACCACTGCCAAGACAGCACTGAGGCCCGAAAAATGTCCATTTCTGAGCCATGCTTGATCACTGGTGCAACTTGTTGAAAGTCTCCTATTGTTATGACAACTTTTCCACCAAATGGCAGTGGCTTTCGACAAATGAGTTGACACACCGAGTTGATTGCCTCCATCACGGTGACATTTAATAAACCCACTTCATCAATGATCAGAAATGGAGCATATTGAATCAACTCAGCTTGTTTACAATGGGGTGTTAAAGAAGAAATGACATCCCCATTGTCTTTAACCACCGGAATCATATAACCACTATGAGCAGTCCATGCACAGTCATAATTTGAGGCCGCTAATGCAGTCGCTCCAACCACAAATGGGAGTTCACCTTGACCTCGAGCAAGATGAATCAGGGCTTTCGAAACATGCGTTTTGCCTCTACCAGCTCTCCCAGTGAGAAAAAAGAGGTGGGGGCTGGAAGGGGTGTTTCGATAGATAGCGTTCCAAAGGGTGTCATATACATGGCGTTGATCGGAAGAAAAGCCTGCAACCATTTCAGAGTTCTTCCTCAGTAATAATGAACATTGGGGAAGGAAATAATCCAATTGAGTGAGGACTTTGGCGGAGTGGATTGTAATGTTAGGGAGTCCAAAATTGGCAGTGGACTTCCCTCGTTGTTGAAGCAGTTGTTGAATGTCCAGTAATGTGTGAGCTTTCACAGTGACACTCATTGGCCCAAGTACATTCCCACCATAGTCCCGTGCTAGATCATCAGCAAAGCGTTCCCAAATAGGAATTGCTGGGGCTCCTTCTAAGATTAATAACATGAAGAGGAAACAAAGTTGTGAGGGAGATTTGAACGAAGCCACAGCATCTTCCATGGCAGATAGACCTTCGGAATCATTTGCAAATAAACCAGCCGCTTGAGCTGCACATTGAAAAGTGGGGTGGACAATGCCATCCACACAATGCAGGGACTCAAATGAGCGAGCCGGGAATGCTAAGAGAAGAGCCCGGATGTAAAACAACTCTCCCATCCCGGGTCTTACTGACTGTAAACGGTAGAGGGAGGGTTGTTTATGCCGGCTCACTGTTCGAGGAGGAACATCAGGTAGTGTCAGGGCACACACCCTGACTAGCCCGGACCCGGACCCGCATCCGGACCCGCTGCGCTTCCTGCATGCGCGCACGCTCCGCGCGCCGCATGCTCCGGGCCCGGTCCCTATCCCTTCATGTGACTTCCGGGTATCCCCGGAAGTTTTGCTGATATTGTGGCCACTGTGGGAAGATGAGAAGTTAGCTTCCTTCTCATCTTCTTACCCACAGTAGGCAAGTGTATATACTTGCCCTTCTTTGATACCATCTTCTTACCCACAGTAGGATTGTGCCCTGGATAGGGCTGGCCAGACCAGAGGCTGTGGACCATAGGGGAGGGTCATGGGGACCCGGGAGTCGTCCCCTGACAGGTAGGATAGATGCTTCGGACCAAGATTCAGAAGGGAGTGTGGAAGGGACTGGTTGGAGGGTGAAGAGTTGATAGTAATCCACATAGTGAATGTCATCGAACAAAGGGTCTGAAGGTCGATTGAAATAGTGAATGAGTTCGGATGCTTGTGAAGGACTTGCACTGTGAGAGCGGCCCCTGAAGGAGTATTGAAACCGATTCTGATTGGGCTCATGGATTTTCAAGCATGAGACTGAAGGTCGTTGACGACAGATGTCATACGCTAGGATTCGCCACACAGCTTCAGGGGCGGAGATATATCATCCTCAAATGTATTGATCCACAGGGTCCAAATCGGAATTATGGCCCAGTTGGAAGTTGGTGTAGTCCACTCCTTTGAATAGATACTTGAAGAGATACAAAAACACGTCAGCAGTAAACACAATGTCCACATTGATGTGGCCTTCCCAGAGTAAAAGTAGAGGAGGTGAATATGGTACGACCCAAGCATCTGAAGAAGATCATCGTCGATAAGAAACACGTTGTTTTTTGTTCACTTGGGTGTAAGTGGTCATTGGGTGGGGAAAACCGTAGATGCATTGACCCTTTTGATTACAACGACTCATTTGCACATGTCGAGGATCCAAATGATCAGAGCAGTGCATCATGTGAGACATCATTAATGTGCAAAGATGACTTTGATCCGGAGGGACTTCAGCCGACACAATGTAATCAATGTGTTCGAAGTCAATGTGGCACTTGAGCTATTAAAGAAATGAGAGTGGGAGTGAATGAGGGAAACAGAGTGTGACCCACCTTGACCACAATATGAACGTGGGGTAAACCCCGCTTCTGAAATTCCACAGCATATACCATGTAAAGAAATCCATCGAATAAGATTTGAATTCTTTTGAGTAATTGTAGAAAGCGAGCCTGACAACAGAGGGTTAAAAACCAAATGGATACAACAAACACAGAAATGATCACCTGAAAGACTTGAGCAGTTATGACAGGGGCAGTGGTGGCCATCTGTCCAGGTAATAGTTTGGTGGTGATTTCAGGCCAGTTCAGATTGCAAGTGGCAGTGATCATTAGGTCGGGTTTGCCATATTGACGGGCTAATGCGAGAGCATCCGCTACTTTTTCAGCATAATATCGAGCAGAACCGGTGAAGCTGGATGGAAGTTGATAGAAGTGTTCTTCTTGTTCTTCTGCATCTTGGTGATCAGCACATAATATACAATCGTATTCATGTTGTTTTCCTTGTTTAATGAGGAATAGTTGTTGATCCTCCACTCAGGAGAACATGTCGATTATCCATTCACATCCTAAACACCAGAATTGATGGAAATGCTCTTCTGTCAAGAGTTGATGTTTATACCATGTGATTTGAGTCCAATGGCCATACTGGATGTGACGATGGATTTCTCCCCAACCACCCACTCTGTGGGGAAAGAGAATGGGATATTGTAGGGGTTCATACAATGTATTCAGAATGTTGACGGGGGAAGGAGTGGCATCCCTTCGACACTGTACAAAGATGCAGTGCGGATCATGAGTTGCACCTGAACCGACATGATAGATGGCAGCGATTTCATTGGACACTCCTGGATCTTGAATTTGCATGGAGACTTGCAGATGGGGTTGGAACTGTGCAAAATCTTGGAAGTTTCGAAATAGAGGATTGTTTGCCATCAATTCTTGATGGATAGCATCCACAGTGCAAGGAGGGACATTGGATTGTAAAATGGCAGGAGTAGCTCCCAACGGATCATACAGAAACCAATTGATGGGATGACCCGATCTTTGACTCAGAAAGATATGATGATATGTGTGACCGGTGATACACAGAGAATAAGGACCTACCCAGAACATTTGAGGTCAGAGTGTGAAAGAGAAGGACTCTCGTACTTTGAAAGGAGTGAAATTCTCCGGATACAGCTTGTGCACTCAGATTGAACAAATAGTTCAACGCTCGGGATGCATTGCCCACATTGGTGGGTGAGGTGCTGATGAAAGAAGCTAGACAGGGGGGTAGCGGTGGAAGGCATGGAAGACGTTTAGTGCCATGATGGCAACACCAATCCACACTTTTGGATTCCAAAAGTAGAGCGCCACACCATCCACACGGGGTGGATCGCCATCGGAAGTGGTCAGACATAGGGGACAATTGGGTGAAATAAGCCCAATATTGGTGGTTGGAAAGTATCGCGCATGGGAAATTGTGTTAGAGTGTTAGAAAGGGGTGAAGGCGCATTAAGAAGTATGTATGTTGATCGGGAAGAAAGAGCAGTAGAATGAGGATTTCTGGCTGTTGGACGTTGAACTGGAGGAAGAAGGGCAATCGCACTCACCATCGGAAAAGAGTGAACGTTCGGAAGCTCAAAGTCCAATTGAAAAGTCCGATTAGATGAGAACACACAATGGTGAGATAATACGCTTGGATGAAGGTCGGCGATGAATGAGTGAATAGAATGGGAGGGTCCGATTCATGTCTCCACCATAGCAGCGAGTTTGTGGAACCCTCTGCTGCGCAGAAACACCCAGAATGGTTACAGTGTGTAGGGAGATTTGAAATCTTTGTAATAGCAGCGAGTCCCAAAAACTCCCCACCTTCCAAAAAGATCAAAACGCCCGCAAGTACATGCCCTAGGAGAGCAATATTGATGACAGAGCCAGTAACTCAGGTTTGCATGGATCATTCATGTGATCTGGACATGGATATATAAATCAAGCATGTGGTGAAGAAAGGAATCAGCCGAAGACCCCCAAGTGCCAGTGACGCACCTCAATGGTAACTGGAGGAGTGAGCTGGAGCAATACCTTGATGCAGATCCAATGAAAACATGCGATGGACTATGATGCGATGGGAACATGTCATGTATGAATAGGGAATTGGATGAAGTTAAACAATGAGGTAAGATACAGGTGGGTGTATAAAAGAGGAGGTCATAAGAAGGGAATGCACAGAGGGTGAAAGTAGTGACGTAAGTTGCTACGTTCAACAGGGATGAGGTAAGATGAAAGAGCCAATCAGAGTGGTTCGAAACCTGGGTTTGGGGAGAACCGAGCCAATCAGAACCCGTAGATGACCCTCAGCGATTATTTATTAGTTAGATATGACAACAGTATGCAAGGTGTAAAGTAATTAGAAAAAGTGACAGACTGTACAAGTGAGCAGTAAAACAGTGGGAGAAGGTGGGTGAATGTGAGGTCTCAGGGGCCACTCAGCACACCAGAACCGTAAGTGATACAAAGGTGTGTATAAATGGTAGTGTGTGTAAGCAGTAACGGAAGTTGCCGCTTAACCACGTGACTCTACATACGACTTTGTTAAATGTGACTTGGGGTTCGGGGCTATTGCCCTGACATTCTCCCCCCTTGCATTGCATATGTTATGCATACATGGTTAAAAAGAAAGGAGAAAAAGTAGAAGTAACAACATTGAATTGAAGTTTTCTATCAAGAACATTTGTTATCACCACCTTAAAGTGGGTGATGTGTACATTTAGGAAGGAGAAATGAGGGAAATAAAGAAATTAAAGAACATGAAGTTGTTACTTTGAAGTAAAGAGTGATACAAGGATGCTGCAGGGTAAGAGGATGAAAAAATGAAGAAAAAGAAAGAAGGTTTTGGCCCAAAGATTAGATATCTTCAGTGTTCCCCCTCACTGGTTCAGTGAGGGGTTGCATGTAATTTAGTGTTTACACACAGGCAGTGGTGGAGGTGGGTTGGATGAAGTAGAAGTTTCCACAATGTTACTTGTGGTTCCTCACATATAATTCTGTGTGCAGGGCCTCAGGTTGGAGGAAGGTGTTTTCACAGGCACCTTGATGGTGTATTACCATGTCACTTTCCCCTTCTTTGAGGGTAGAGTTATTGCCCTGGAGGATTTTCCTCTGGGTTTCATCTGGACATCCACTTGCTGCATTGCCAAGCATTGAACTCAACAAAGTGGGTGCTGTAACAGGTCTATCACTCCTAGACTTGAGACAGAAGGGAGGGGGAGGGTTGGAGTGGATGCATGTTACGAGGATGGGGAGAACTCCCCTCTCCTCGATCCATTCTTATAGAGGGATGACAATCGTTGTATCTAGTCTGTACCATAACGGGATATGTAATCAATGAGTGATCCCAGTCTTGCATGGGAGTGGACGATTGAATTCCCATCGATCGTGGTTGGTGATGTAGTGAGCTATTAAGGAATTGATGGCAGGTAGCCGGAGATGTCTGGATGGACAGGTCAGCCACAGGTACTTGGCACTCCTCAATGGAGCATGCCATGTGTGCAGTCGCAACTTGCAAGGTGGGTGAGAACTTTGTATAACTGCCATCGGTTACTTGGCATTCGCAGCATGAATGTACCAGTAGCAGGTAGATATCATGAGCATACAATGAGGACTGACTAGCAGGGCCTTCAGTGACTTGGCGTTCCC